GCTACGTGACCAAAGTGGGCAAGTGCCAGGTGAATCTGGGCAACATCCAGGACAAGAAGAGGTTCCTCTCGGACATCTTCACTACCATCGTAGACCTCAAGTACCGCTGGTTCCTCTTCGTCTTCATGATGTGCTACGTCGTCACCTGGGTGGTCTTTGGCTTCATCTACTTCCTGGACGCCTGGGTGCGCGGCGACGTGTGGCACCAGGGCGATCCCGAGTGGCAGGCGTGCATCGAGAACGTGGACGGCTTCGTCTCCGCCCTGCTGCTCTCGGTGGAGAGCCAGCGCACCATCGGCTACGGCACGCGCATGGTGACGGCCAACTGCGCCGAGGGCGTCATCCTGCTGATCGCCCAGTCCATCGTGGGCTCCATGATCGACGCCATGATGGTCGGCTGCATGTTCGTCAAGATCTCCCGGCCCAAGAAGCGCGCCCAGACCCTCATCTTCAGCAAGAACTGCGTCATCTCCCTCCGGGACGAGAAGCTCTGCCTGATGTTTCGTGTGGGGGACCTGCGGGAAAGCCACATGGTGGATGCCAAGATCCGCGCAAAGCTGATCAAGTCCCGCCAGACGGCCGAGGGGGAGTTCATCCCCCTGGAGCAGTCGGAGCTGAACCTGGGCTACGACACGGGGGAGGACCGTCTGTTCCTGGTGGAGCCCCAGATCATCTGCCACGTCATCAACCGCCACAGCCCTTTCTGGGACATGTCGGCCGAGTCGCTGCGCCGGGAGCAGTTTGAAATCATCATTATCCTCGAGGGCATTGTGGAAGCCACAGGCAAGTGGTCTGGGGGAGTCAGGGTGGAGAGGGGGGGCTCCCCTGGGCTCCTGGAGATGCCAGGCAAACCCGGGCCCAGGAGTGACATCAGAGCAAGAGAGGCTCTGGGTCCTGTGTGTCTCCAGCGGGCCGTGGGTGAGGCAGGGCTGGAAGCCCCTCACCCTGCAGGCTCAGGGGGCTCGTTGTGGCACCCGGCACAGCACAGCCATGTTCTTCATTGCTGCAGGAATGACGTGCCAAGCCCGCACCTCTTACACGGAGGACGAGATCCTCTGGGGATACCGCTTCGAGTCCTGCATGTCCCTGGAGAAAGGCGCCTTCCAGGTGGACTACAGCCGCTTTGAGATGACCTTTGAGGTGCAGACGCCAGCGGCCAGCGCCAAGGAGCTGCAGGAGCTGCGGGAGCTGGAGCAGCAGGAGCACTCCACACTCA